CATCATCACGCTCGCATAATTTACTTGAAAACAGTTCTGTTATAATCAAACATACACGAAACAACACACCATGGAAGGATATATTAAACTGATGCAAAACACAGGCGAGAATGAGAGAATAATGTAGATCTGTAAGTGTTTATGCTTTACAAACCTTTTAAAAACCAGATAAATGTTTTGTCTTCTTTTCAGCTATCTGGATAGTAACAGTCCTGAGTCGAGGCGCTAGACGATAGTCCTCTTCCGGGGAGGATCTCATGTGTAGGTCACCCACACCAGGCTTTTCCCACACCAGGTTTCCATCACCCGGCTTCCAACACCAGGCTTCCAACACTAGGCTTCCAACACCAGGCTTCCAACACCCGGCTTCCAACACCAGGCTTCCAACACCCGGCTTCCAACACCAGGCTTCCAACGCCAGGCTTCCAACACCAGGCTTTCAACACCAGGCTTCCAACACCAGGCTTCCAACACCCGGCTTCCAACACCAGGCTTCCAACACCAGGCTTCCAACACCAGGCTTCCAACATCAGGCTTCCAACACCAGGCTTCCAACGCCAGGCTTCCAACACCAGGCTTCCAACACCAGGCTTAAAACGCCAGGCTTCCAACACCCGGCTTCCAACGCCAGGCTTCCAACACCAGGCTTCAACACCAGGTTCCAACACAGGCTTCCAACGCCAGGCTTCCAACACCCGGCTTCCAACACCGGCTTCCAACACCAGGCTTCCAACGCCAGCTTTCACAACACCAGGCTTCCAACACCAGGCTTCCAACACCCGGCTTCCAACACCAGGCTTCCAACGCCAGGCTTCCAACACCAGGCTTCCAACACCAGGCTTCCAACCAGGCTTCCAACGCCAGCTTCCAACACTCGGCTTCCAGACACCAGCTTCCAACACCCGCTTCCAACACCAGGCTTCCACACCCGGCTTCCAACACCAGGCTTCCAACGCCAAGCTTCCAACACCAGGCTTCCAACACTAGGCTTCCAACACCAGGCTTCCAACACCAGGCTTCCAACACCAAGCTTCCAACACCAGGCTTCCAACACCAGGCTTCCAGCACCAGGCTTCCAACACCAGGCTTCCATCACCAGGCTTTCAACACCAGGCTTCCAACACCAGGCTTCCAACACAAGGCTTCCAATATCAGGCTTCCAACGCCAGGCTTCCAACACCAGGCTTCCAACACCAGGCTTCCAACACCAGGCTTCCAACACCAGGCTTCCAACGCCAGGCTTCCAACACCAGGCTTCCAACACCAGGCTTAAAACGCCAGGCTTCCAACACCCGGCTTCCAACGCCAGGCTTCCAACACCAGGCTTCCAACACCAGGCTTCCAACACCAGGCTTCCAACGCCAGGCTTCCAACACCCGGCTTCCAACACCCGGCTTCCAACACCAGGCTTCCAACGCCAGGCTTCCAACACCAGGCTTCCAACACCAGGCTTCCAACACCCGGCTTCCAACACCAGGCTTCCAACGCCAGGCTTCCAACACCAGGCTTCCAACACCAGGCTTCCAACACCAGGCTTCCAACGCCAGGCTTCCAACACTCGGCTTCCAACACCAGGCTTCCAACACCCGGCTTCCAACACCAGGCTTCCAACGCCAAGCTTCCAACACCAGGCTTCCAACACTAGGCTTCCAACACCAGGCTTCCAACACCAGGCTTCCAACACCAAGCTTCCAACACCAGGCTTCCAACACCAGGCTTCCAGCACCAGGCTTCCAACACCAGGCTTCCATCACCAGGCTTTCAACACCAGGCTTCCAACACCAGGCTTCCAACACAAGGCTTCCAATATCAGGCTTCCAACGCCAGGCTTCCAACACCAGGCTTCCAACACCAAGCTCCCAACACCAGGCTTCCAACACCAGGCTTCCAACACCAGGCTTCCAACACTAGGCTTCCAACACCAGGCTTCCAACACCATGCTTCCAACGCCAAGCTTCCAACACCAGGCTTCCAACACCAGGCTTCCAGCACCAGGCTTCCAACACCACGCTTCCAACATCAGGCTTCCAGCACCAGGCTTTCAACACCAAGCTTCCAACACCAGGCTTCAAACACCAGGCTTTCAACACCAGGCTTCCAACACCAGGCTTCCAACACCAGGACCCGTCCACCCCACCCCAAGCTATGTATTGCTGGCCTCGTCTGCTTGGCTCTCGCACCTGGACTCTGGCAAGCACCACCTCGCCCCGTGTGTTTACACCAAATGATGCAAAACACTGCAACCAACTTTCTCAGTCAATTCGTCTACACAAGTGGGATCCCACCAAGTGTCGGTGCTCACCCTGTTATCACTAGTGGGATCCCACAAGTGTCGGTGCTCACCCTGTGTTATCACTAGTGGATCCCACAAGTGTCGGTGCTCACCCTGTTATCCTAGTGGGATCCCACAATGTGTCGGTGCTCACCCTGTTATCACTAGTGGGATCCCACAAGTGTCGGTGCTCACCCTGTTATCACTAGTGGGATCCCACAAGTGTCGGTGCTCACCCTGTTATCACTAGCGGGATCCCACAAGTATCAGTGCTCATCCTAATAATCTGAAGTATGCGTTTGAGGCACCATCGCCACAGCTCGAAAGACGTGACGCAAATGTGTCAATCTCAAAGAAATGACAAAATTGATTCTATAGTTGAGAGACGAATTCTGAAGCGAGAGTAGAGGCAAAAGAAACTCCCTCCTTTGAAGATAGGAGGAGGAGAGGAAATATGATAATTACATGCATATTTACGAAAGGATGCAAAAAAAAGAAGGCAAAGACGATGATTTAATGTCAACATTAATTTTATTTATTTTAATTATGGGGAACACACTAAACCCATAATGATCATACAGCGCCTGGAGGTAATGAGAGGTATTCAGGGTCGATAAGTCCAACTCCTTGGATCAAAACCCTCTCACCGACATCAAGACTCCTCCTAAGAGGGCAAGAAAAAGCTGGCCGCCATAACTTTTAACCTATGTAAGCCCTTCAAGGGATGGGAGAGTTACCTTGATGCTGGTGAAGGGGCTCTTGATCCACAGAACCATGACTATACTTCCTTCTAACAGACCTGGCACTTTATGATTCCTGCGGAAAATATAATAATAATAATAATAATAATAATAATAATAATAATAATAATAATAATAATAATAATAATAATAATTTTAACACTCTGGCCGTCTCCCACCGAGGTAGGGTGACCCGACAAAGAACAACTTCTACTCTCACACATTCAATCATTGTCTTGCCAGAAGGGCAGTTAAGATGACTCTACACCTCCAGGATTCAAGTCGTCTAACCGGTTTTCCCTGAATCCCTCTAACAGCACGTCATGTCGTAAATAAAACACTTACCTTCACGCCTTTCTAGCACGCTCACACATGCCTGTTGGATGTCCAAGCCCCAAGCACTCAAAACCTTCTTTACCCCCCTCCCTCCAATCCATCTTGGACTACCCCTATCCATCCTTCCCGCCATCCCAAATTTATACACCTCATAATCTAATACAATAATAATTACAGTCCATGTATGAAACACTGTGAAAGGAATGTTTTAAATATAATTTTCAAGTTGTAGACGAAAAAATTAAAACTTAGAAAGAAACAGTGTTCCACAACCACTGAAAATTTTTAAGGTTACAATATTTACAACAGAAGACAGAACACCGCGATTAAAATTATATTCACAGGGAAGCGGTGAACCCGTACGGGGGGGGACGGGTGGTAACGAGAGGTGAACCGGAACACCAGGAGCTCTAAGCTCTATTCCTGTAACCACAACAGCAGGTATAGTATTTTGTACCCTAAACCCTTCTGAAGAATTCATGAGTGAGTAAGGAAAACGTCGCTATTAATAGAAGTGGTCCAGTGGTAGTATGTGAACTATGGCCGAAATAAATAGTCTGCTCCAGAGAGTATCGTTCAAACTGTCGTTCGACATCGTTTATTATTTATTAAGTGATTGGTGGTGACAGTGGACGAGCAGTAAGCGGCTCACTCTGGTTAATTCCCAATCCTTGTCTCTTTCTTCACTCTTTCTTGCTACTTTCTTCTGTCTTTCTTGTCTCTTCCTTTATCATTTCTTGTCACTTTTTTCTCTCTTTCTTGATTGTTTATTGACTGTTTCTTGTCTCTTCTTTCTTTTTTCACTCCTTCTTGAATGTTTCTTGTTTCTTCCTTGTCTCTTTCTTGATTTTTTCTTGTTGTTCCTTTATTGTTTCTTGCTTGTTTCTTATCTTTCTTGTCTGTTTCTTGTCTGCTTCTTGCCTGTTTCTTGTTGTTTCTTGTATTTTTCAGGTATTTATTGTCCGTTTCTTTTTTTTTTCTTTTTTTTGGGGGGGTGGGGTCATGGCTGCTAGAGACTATGACATTATTTGTAAATTAAAACACAGTTAACCTTGACAACAAAATAATATTTAATACTGTTGCGTTACTCTCGAATCATTCTAATTTATATATATTATATATATATATATAATATATATATAATATATATATATATATATATATATATATATATAATATATATATATATATATAATACATACACACACTAGTCTAGTGTAAGTGTTATTGTGTATCTCTCCCACAAGGGATGGGGGGGCCCATACTTCCGATCGTTGTAATTAAAGGCGGAAATCCTGTTACCGGTGGAAGATTTTCACCCAAATATCGCTGTGAGATAGAGAATAATTTCACCTGTTGGCTCGCTGTTCCTGAGCACTGTATTCAACTCTTCTCCACCTGAAGTGAAACCGGATAATCTCATAGGGAGCTCCGGAATGCACCAGCCTCTACCTCGATTTTTGCGGGCAGTGTATGCGATTAACCGATGTGTTTTGGACAGGAAAAGCGGGTTGGACTATGACGCTTTCCGTAGGGGTAGGTGAGTGGGGAGGAGGGGTAAGAGGAAGGGAGGGGTGGATGGCGGTAGGTGGAGGGAGACTGAATGGACGTCAGGGGAAAGGGGGTAATGGGAGGGTGGAGGAAGTGGCAAAGGGAGGTGGAAAAGGTGTTTAGGTTGTGTGTGACACAGTGAGGCTGGCCCACAGTGTAAATGTTTGTCCAAGCAACGTAGTGGTCTACGACGATACTCGGGGCGTTCTACAGGTGTGATTTACAAATGCCAGTTGCGTGTGTCTGTTACATGTGCCTGTTAAATGTGCCTATTATATGTGCCTGTCACATGTGACTGTTACGGGTGCCCGTTCACACTTGGTTCCTTATATTAATAATGTTCAAGAGCGACAAGCTGATGAATAAGACACATGTGCAACACCCGGGTGTCTTATTTCACTGTCTCTGTATTGGGCTGACGAAGCCTGCTGTGCAGGAGATAGGTTTCGCTACAAAAGACACCCAAGTATCGTACACCTCTCATATTCACAAATGGTGTGAACTTGATAAGAATTTAAAGCGGATATATAATGTTGTTTTCAGCGAGTGTTCGAAGTGTATTTATAATGTTAATGAGACCACATAGAAACCTGATCTTTGAGAAGCTCATTAGAAACTACAACGACTGAAACGAGTCTTGAGTTCCAAAATTGAGTAAAAGATCTTGGCGTGTATTCAATTAGTGTAATTTTGTTTATACCCAAACCAGGTAACAGGTGGGGTTCGTACCCATGGCTAGTGAGTGGTAACACTCCAGGCCGGTTAAGCACTGGCCTGGAGTTTTACGATTCACTCGCCATGGGTTCAAACCCCACCCATTACTTGGTTTATTTGCAGTCGTGTTATTACAGTTTCGTGAGTTTGTTTATAAGCTCTCAAATTCTGTCATACCTATTTGTGAAGCCATGTACTGATTGTTTCTGCACTCCCGGCTCTCAAGAACGCTTCAGTGCACCACTCTCACATGGAACAGATGTTTCTTATTGTTGATGTGTCTCATTTCTGTACTTCCACTTGTGTCTCTTTTTTCTCTTATCTCACATGTTAAACCTTGGCCATAATGCTGAGTATTGTGTACATCATGAACATATTTCCTATGATTATTCACTAGTAACATAGCTCAGTATCGCATATCTTTCCGTGTAGCTTATACATTGTAGCACTGGGACCAGGGTGGGGCTCCATATTGGGACCGCTTCCTCGAGTACTCGAGTATTGCTCTGACGTACGTTGTAATCTATGTCTTCAGTGATAACTTGCTCAGCTTCTAAAAGATCGTTCTCACATATGTACCAACGTTACGTATGCTTCCGATGATACACTATGAGTGCCTCAGACAGGTTCGTTGTGATATCTGCCTCTAGGAGTGTGCGTTATGTTCTTGATTCAGCGCCTGTAGTATCTTCCGTCCCAGTTAACCGCTGAAGTGTCTCCACTCTGGTGTCCTTAGCTACCATATTCGTTATACTGCCTTTGTGTTGAGTTATTTAAAGTCACTTGCCGGACCTTCCTGCGATTAATAGAAATTATTCTACAGTTTCTTTCAGTCATGCTGTGTGTGTGTGTGTGTGTGTGTGTGTGTGTGTGTGTGTGTGTGTGTGTGTGTGTGAACTCACCTATTTATGGTTGCAGGAGTCGAGTCACAGTTCCTGACCCCCGCCTTTTCCTTGGTCACTACTAAGTCCACTCTCTCTACTCCAAGAGTTGTATCTTACCTGTGTATGTGTGCGCGCAGGGATACACACACACACACACATACAAGCACCGACACATACACACACACAAACACGCACACGCACACGCACACAGACATAGCTGTAAATTACACATTCAAATGCGTCACAGAGCTGTCAGGAAACATATTACCCAGCAAGAGTAGTTATGAACTGAGCCCAACAACAGCACAGTGGAAACACTCCTCCATACAAGGTTAAACACACACATGTCAGAGCTCTTTCACACCAGTCAGTCGAACGTGAAGAGACAGAACCAAGAACTAGAACTCAGCTCCCCCTTCCCCACAAACTGTAATACGTCATTACACTCATACAGGTAATTAAAACGGACAAGTGTCTGACACAATGAGTTTCCGACGCAGGTCCGGCGTCACGCGAGGTATGTAAATCTGAGAACAGTTACATCAAAGTGGTGTAGGATGATTCCATAGCAGCAACTGGCGCAGCAGCTACCAGGATACAGTCATCACTGTAACCACCAGTCTGCTGGCTGCTTGTGTTACTTTCAATAAAGGTATGGCTAGTGTGTTAACTCTGGAGACCTGCTCTGTCACCCACGCAGAATACCTTTTTATTAATAAAAATAATATTAATACTAAAATTGATAAAATATGGCGTGTGTGTGTACTCACCTAATTGTGGTTGCGGGGGTCGAGACTCAGCTCCTGGCTCCTGTGTGTATATGTGTGTGTGTGTGTGTGTGTGTCGTATATATGTGTACTAACCTATTTGTACTCACCTATATGTGGTTGCAGGGGTCGATTCACAACTTCTGGCCCTGCCTCTTCGCTCGTCGCTACGAAGTCCACTCTCTCCCTGCTCCATGATATTTATCATACCTCATCTTAATGCTATGTATGAATCCTGGCTTCACTACATCACTCTTCAGATTGCTCTACTTCCTGACTTCTATAACTGAAGAAATACTTCCTAATATCCCTGTGATTCATCTGGGTTTTCAGCTTCCAGCTGTGACCCCTTGTTACTGTGTCACATCTCTGAAACACTTTGTCCCTATCCACTTTGTCAATACCTCTCAGTATTTTATATATCGTTATCATGTCCTCCTATCCATCCTGCCCTCTAGTGTCGTCACGTTGATTTCCCTAACCTCTACTCGTAGGCCAAACCCTTTAGCTCCGGGACTAGTCTTATTGCAAACATTTGCACTTTCTCTAATTTCTTAGCGTGCCTAACCAGGTGTGAGTTCCATACTGGTGCTACATACTCTAATATGGACCTGACGTACACGGTGTACAGTGTCGTGAATGACCCCTTACTCAGGTGTAGAAACACTATCCATTGGATAACTAGGCGCCCATATGCCGCAGCAGTTGTTTAGTTGATTTGCGCCTCAGGAGATGTGTTCGGTAAGATACTCACCCAAGATTCTTTTCCTTGAATGAGGTTTGCAGCCTTTGACCCCCTAGCCTGTACTCCGTCTGTGGTCTTCTTTCACCCTCCCCAATCTTCATGACTTTGCATCTGGTGGGGCTAAACTCCAAGAACCAGTTGCTGGACCAGGCTTGCAGCCTCTCCAGATCCCTTTGTAGTCCTATATGATTTTCATCAGTTTGAATTCTTCGCATTAGCTTCACATCGTCTGCAAACAGTGACACCTCTGAATCTATAACTTTCGTCGCGTCATTTCACATATAGTACTAGAAACAGCAGTGGCCTTCGTACTGTAGTGTAAACCTGCACGTGTGTGTGTGTGTGTGTGTGTGTGTGTGTGGTGTGTGTGTGTGTGTGTGTGTGTGTGTGTGTGTGTATTCACCTATCTGTAATCACCTATTTGTGGTTGCAGGGTTCAGGTCAGCTCCTGGCCCCGCATCTTCACTGATCGCTACTAGGTCCTCTGTTTCCCTTCTCCATGAGCTTTATCAGACCTCTAAATAAATGCTTCCTAACATTCTTTTGACTCATCTGAGTCTTCAACTTCCATTTGTAACCCCTAGTTTCTGTGTCCTATCTCTGGAACATCCTATCTATGTCCACCTTGTCAATTCTTCGCAATATTTTATATGTCGTTATCATGTCTCCCCTAGCCCTCCTGTCCACTAGTGTCGTCAGGCCGATTTCCCTAACCTTCTTACGACATTTTCCTTAGCTCTGGGACTAGTCTTGCTGCAAACCTTTGCACTTTCTCTAATTTCTTGACGTGCTTGACCAGGTGTGGGTTCCAAACTGGTGCTGCATACTCCAGTATGGGCCTGACATACACGGTGTACAGAGTTTTGAACGATTCCTTACTGAGGTATTGGAACGCTATTCTCAGGTTTGCCAGGCGCCCATATGCCGCAGCAGTTATCTGGTTGATGTGCGCCTCAGTTGTGCTCAGTATTATACTTACCCCAAGATCCTTTTCCTTAAGTGAGGCTTGCAGTTTGTGGTCACCTAGCCTATACTCTGTCTGCGGTCTTCTTTCTCCTCCCCCGATCTTCATTACTTTGCATTTGGGGAGGGGGGGGTAAACTCGCCTGTCCAAGTCCCTTTGTAGTCTTGCCTGATCCTCATCCGATTTTATTCTCCTTATTAACTTCACATCATCTGCAAACAGAGACACTTCTGAGTCTATCCCTTCTGTCACGTTATTCACATATTCCAAAAATAGGGCTGGTCCTAGGACTGACCCCTGTGGAATGCCGCTCGTCACAGGCGCCCACTCTGACACCTCGTCACGTACCATGACTCATTGTTGCCTCCCTGTCAGGTATTCTCTGATCCATTGCAGTGCCCTTCTTGTTAAGTGTGCCTGATCCTCTACCTTTGCACTAATCTCTTGTGAGGAACTGTGTCAAAGGTCTTCTTGCAGTCCAAGAAAATGCAATCAACCCACCCCTCTCTCTCGTCTTACTTCCGTTACCTTTTCATAAAATTCCAGTAGGTTTGTGACACAGGATTTTTCTTCCTTGAATCCGTGCTGGTTGTCGTTTAAAAGCTTCTTTCCTTCTAGGTGCTCCACCACTCTCCTCGTGATAATCTTCTCCATGACTTTTCATACTATACACGTCAGTGACACTGGTCTGCAGTTTAGTGCCTCGTGTCTGCCTTCTTTCTTAAAAATGAGGACTACATTTGCCGTCTTCCATACCTCGGGTAGTTGCCCAGTTTCAATTGATGTGTTGAAAATTGTTGTTAGTGGCACACACAAAATCTCTTCTCCCTCTCTAAGGATCCATGGAGGGATGTTGTCCGGTCCCACCGCCTTTGAGGTATCAAGTTCACTTGGCAGCTTCTGTGTGTGTGTGTGTGTGTGTGTGTGTGTGTGTGTGTGTGTGTGTGTGGTGTGTGTGTGTGTGTGTGTATGTGTGTGTGTGTGTGTGTGTGTGTTGTGTGTGTGTGTGTGTGTGTGTGTGTGTGGTGTGTGTGTGTGTGTGCGTGTGTGTATGTGCGCTTCTTGAAATATTTTTGAACTCTCCTCTCTTTCTGTCTGTCTATCTGTCTGCCTGTCTGTCTGTCTGTCTGTCTGTCTGT